CTTTGATTCAATTGTCCCTCATTTTGACCAAAGAGGTGCAGGAAGCTTGAGCTAATGCTTGCTCTGGTGACAAATGTGAACAATTTACTTTTTCTTGTATTGTCATGGTACCTAACCACTAGAAGTCTGGTCTGGTCTTAGAAGCATAGAAGAAGTATGAAGACTTATATTCTGTGTCCATTGTCCACTAAAGTCTCATTCTTTAGCTTCCTTGGGGCATCCAGGCCTCCCAGAAGCAGAACAAACCTGATATGTGTGAGGCCAGGGTCTTTTTCCATGGCTGTGAGCAGGAATTTTCCCCAGCTCTCTGCTGTGTAAAGGTCCTGAATGCCCAGGAGACTCAGTTGAGCTTGTCCATGCTAGTTCCTTGTTGGTGCCCGGGATGATCATGTGAAATTTAGCAAGTTCTACCTTTGAACTGAATGTGAGGGAAAAGTTTTTGGAAAATGATAATTTCTTGTGAATATAAACATGCTGAACTTTGCTTTGTGTTTAGTTAGATAAGTTTAGATAAGTTACCATTAGTTAACAATATCATGCTGTTCCAAAAAAAGATAAATGCCGTGCTGAGATGTACAAACAAGGCTGTAGTCTGCAAGACACACAAAGTAATTCTACTACTTTGCTCAGTGCTTGTAAGGGCCAAACAAGGACACTGTGTCCATTTATGGGCACTGGTCTGCACCAAATGTGGAGAATGCTGGAGAGAGGCCAGAGGAATGAAATAAGAACAATTTCCTGAAAAATCAGGAAAGCATTTTTATTTAAAAAAAAAAAAGTTAATTTAATTTGCTTGGTCTAAGAAAAAGAGTAAAAGGGGAGGTGAATCAAATCCCAAATAAGGTGATTATGGGCAGGGAAGCACTGGCCTTCATGTGGTAGATGGGAGAAGAAGACAGGCTTAAGTTGTAACAAAAAACACTGAAATTAGATGCGAAAAAACATTTTCTTTGGTAAGAGCAGAGAAACATTGAAGTAGGCTGCCCTGGGTGTCTGACTGGTTTTCTTCCTAATAAGGTCTTAGAGAAAATAGGCCAGGAGGTGCACTACTATTGCTGAGTCCTTCTTGGGCTAAGGGGCAGCTTCATGGAGATCCCTTGAGATCCTTCCCATGCCAGCTCTTCGATGTACCTGAGCAGCTGCTGTGAGAGTTGTGGTTAGTTACTGTTTGATTAATAATTTCTTCATCAGTAATGCATGCCACAGGTATGCCATTCAGCTTCCTTTCACCCAAAAAACCGAAGATTTATTGAACATTTCTGGATTTTCTGCCTGATTTAGTCTGACAACTAAAACTTTCATTCAGCTGGCAAAATGGTACTGATTGCTGCAATCTTTCCAAGTACCCACAGCTGTACCTGACTACCCTCCCTCCCCACCTCAGCTATTGCTCCTGCCATGGCAATAGTTGCCTGGTAGCTCACCCTGTCCCTGGAACTAGTTCAAATTCCTCCATGGAAGCTTAGAAGTTCTATTCCAAGACAGCTCAGAATTAAAATGTCTGACAGTTAATGACATAGAGTGAAAAAACTATTATTAGGATTATTTTTAAAAGGGAAGGGGGATTAAAAATCAGGCCATGTCAAAAAAAAAAAAAAGAAAGAAAGATAAAATTACTATTTAGCTTTTATTTTTTTTTTGCAAAGGTAATCTTATAGAATTTTATTGGCTGAATATATGTACAGACAAAAGGTGTTCTGCATTGAAGAGCTCATATAATGTTCTATGTGTAAAAACATTTGCAAAAGAAAAAGATATCAATGGATTCCATCTTAATTCAGTTGCTTGTTAATTTAATCTTTTTTTTTATTTATTAGCTGAAACTGAAGGACCACGGTAATTTGTTCTATTAGTAGTACAATTTCCACTTGTAGTATGCTGAGTTTTATGTCTGTAAGCATACATCAACAGCTAATTCAATCATTAGCTGTGTAATGCCTTCTTTAATAAGGAAGAGGCTCATAATCTTAATCTAATAAAAGAAAAGAGAGCTGCAGGAAAATTTGCAACAACAGAAATTGATACTAGAGGATATTATCTGGGGCACTGGCAACAAGATCACAACCGTTCATCAGGAAATCGGTACCTTCAAATATTCTCATCTTCAGGCGTGCAGGGCACTTGAAAGCAGCTGTGAGTCCTCTGTCTCCCATTAAATGAGTTTGGTTTTCCAGCTATAGCTGAAATTTTGGTATGGAGAGTTGTAAATTTGGATAGTGAGATTTATAAGGAGCTGACCATACACTTTGTTTTCTTTTTCTGTGCCAGTGCATCTTTGGACATTTATCCTTCAGTTTTCTGCCTCAGGGGTGTGCTTTATGTATACACAGCCCATCTTGTTCCCAGACTCTGATGTTACTTCAGTTCTGTGTCCTGTCTCTGAGAACTGCTAGTTCCAAATTACTCAGAGAGATACCAACTGATGCCCTATACCATGATTGAATGATTTTGTTTTCATTGTCTATTCCATTGTCATGCTCTTGAATGGCAACTGGGACTACTAACTGCTGTAAGTGCTGTTTTAAAATTTGCTGTATTTTGCCAGTTTGGATGCTTTGACTTTGTCTACTGTGAGAAAAGAGAAATAAGAATGTGAATTTACTTTTTCTACATTTCATACTTCAGCCATGTACCGTCTTCTGATTAAGAGTTCCAAAATATTCAGTAGCATCAGCCCAAACCCCTACACAGCAGCCCAGCAAACAAAATTATATTGTCTGTCTGCTGCTGATGGAAACAATTTCCTTTTTCATAAGCCAATAACCCCAAAGGCAAAAGAAAGCCTTATTAAAGTACAAGCAGAAAAACTGAGTAGTAAATCAGCAGGCTGTGGTCTTCCCACAGCGGATGGGGAAGTCACTGACCTCATCCCACCTTGGTTGAGACACCACATGAACCCACATGTGGTTCCTTGCCCAGACTCCAGGAACACCATCCCTGCAGCTATCGGAGCATGCAGTCCCCCAGGTCCCTGCCATCCCACAGGTAGCTGGGGGAGGGGATGAGCTGAGCTAAAGAGCATTAGTCAGACCATCCCATGTCTTTGCAGTGTCCCTTCAGAAATTGCTTGCCCTGTTTCAAACCTCTCACCTCTAAGTGCTGGCCCTGCCTGTGCTGGTCCTCACCTCAGGACACTGTATCAGCACTTCACTAGTGTTTCTATCTTTCCTGAAACTACAGGTGATGGGAGGAAAATTACATTTCTCTCACTGAAATATGGAAAAGTGTTTTGTTCTTTATTCTGTTGGGCACTGAAGAAGACAAAACACCATCCATCTGCGAGAAAAGATCAAAACCCAAACACCTTCATGACACTCACTCGTTGCATTGCTCTGTCCCCTCCTAATCCTGGTTCTGGCTAAAATTCTATCATCCAGCTGTCAAAGGGCCACTTGACAATACCTAGACATATCTTGATATCTAGCCAAAGATTTGATTGCCCTTGCCAATAAAAATGCACTGTTCGAGCCAGGGCCAAAGAACAGTTTAGAGCAGACCTGCCACAGAGAATTGCAGTGTCTGCCCATCTAAGTGCAGTGACCACAGAGGCATGAGAACAGCAGGAGCTTTGTCTCTCCTCTCTCATTGACTGCTGCATCCAAACCTTCATTGTAATGAAAATGTATGAAATAGTTCCACATGCCTGGTGGTCATACAGCATGCAGGATCATCCAGTCTGGCTACCAGAAGAAGCCTCACAATCACAATTTTTCCCTGCATAGCTCTTTATTTGACCTAGGTGAAGATCAAATCCATATAGCTGCATTTAGTGATAATAAGTCAGCCTCATAAAAAGGTTCTCAGCACTTAAAAACTCTTGATGACTTGCTTTAGAAATTAATTGTCCTCAAGATTAGCAATGTATGCCTAGCTTCTACTCTAAATTTCTCTAACTTCAGATTCTTACTACCAGCTTTTAGACCTGTTTCAAATAGGCTGAAGAGTTGTTCATTGTGAATTTTCTGTGCTATCTCCTCTCCTGTAGCCATAGCCCTTTTCATATACCATAATTAAGTTAGTTCTTCGTTTGGGACGCCTGTAGACATGCTGCAGGGAAAATGTATTGAGCATGGAGAAGCTGCAGAATTTTTCATCCCCAGGAAACAGGCTTCAAAGGCTGCTTTAGCTAAGCTTTCAATGCTCAAACCTTTCAAGCCTTCATGACTCATTATGGAGAAGTATCTTGGTTTCAAATGCTTCCCTGGAGTTCATTCTCCCTTTCAATGCAAAAGAACTCTTTCTGAGCCTGAAAGAGCTTGTTTTATTTTTATCAAGGATAAGTTCAAAGACAGAGGGTTAAGAATGATCAATGGACAGGAGATGGTGGACCAACACCAAAAGATTATTATGGTTATTTCCTTAAGAGAAAGGCTTGATTCTTACTGTGTTTGATGCTTCCTTATTCCCCACTTGCCCACCCAGGTCTCACAGTGTGCTCTGTTCATAGACACCGATCAGATCCCAGGTTTTACAGCATCTGCTATGACCAGAGCCAGACAGAACCATAGGAAGATTAAGCCACCTACCTTAGGTATGTGGCAGAGAATCAGGCATCTGACATTATTTGTGGAGGTGTGGCTGTGTCACCAGGGTGCCTGGATGACTTTGCCAAGGTTGTGATATGTCCCAGGTGGGTTGTTGAACTTCAGGGACATATTGAGGGCTTGGCTTGACAAAGCAGAACCATCATGGCAATGAGGGGTCCTGGTGTATAGCTGGAATCACTTTTCAAATCTTTCTCTTACAGTTCTCAGAGATGGGCTCTCCATAATGCTTCAGTTATGAAGGAAGAAGGGAAGCTGAATTGTTTTTTTGCAATGGAGAAGACAGAGGGAGAAACACCAGCACAGTGGCTCCCACCTTGTTGCTTATCTCCCTGCCAACATGTGCCCCAAATCCTCTCTGTTCTGTATTAAGGAAAGGAAAAGCTTTGACATCTGCTTTCTCACATCATCTTTTCCAATTTTGCACCCGATAACCCCCTGGTGAAAAGAGGAACAATGACTTCATATAGCTGCTGCTTGATTCTTTTGCTGTTTACCTGGAGCACTGCTGCCTATGGGCCAAACCAACGGGCACAGAAGAAGGGAGACATTATTCTTGGAGGATTGTTCCCCATTCATTTTGGAGTGGCTGCTAAAGACCAGGATCTAAAATCAAGGCCAGAATCAGTGGAGTGTATAAGGTAAGCTAGTAAAAGGGAATATAAAAAATTTTGGTGGGGAAATCTTCACATTTCTTGACTTTATATTGTGTAAATATGGTCTGAAATCTGATGCTTGCGATTGGAAGGTATGATGGAAATAATGGAAAAAACAAGTGTGTATGTTAAACAGTAACATAAATACTGTTTGGACACTAAAAGAGGGCAATCTTTGTACTACCTGAACCTGCCAAAACATTAATATACTGATCTATCTGGCCATTCACAGGGCACATTTGAATAGCATCTGAAAATTAGCTTCCGTAGCAGAACAGAAAATTACCAATAGTGCCCTTTAGCTCATTTGATTAAAGTTATTCATGGCCAAATAGTTTAGAAATCAATTTTTTGTCCAGTTCCACCTGTCATCTTCTAAGACTTTAAAAACTGTTAAGTTGCCTAAACAAGTGAAAATGTTGAAGTGAGATAGGTCAGGGCTTTTGAAAAATCCCAATAAATGACACATAAATGTCTCCTTAGGACTTTGTAAAAGTCCTAAACTTTAGACCAGGCTTCCCTCACCCAGAGTTCTTCTCTTTTGTGTAAACAACAAATCTATGTTTTGTCTTAAGTGTTTGGGAGTTAACCTTGGAGTGAGAAATACATATGAAAACAATTTCTCTTACTATTGAAGTGTAGGCATGATGAAACGTGAGGAATTTTTAACATTACAAGCCTACACATAATACACAGAACAAGTGGAAAGTGTGACAGAAACTGCTGCAACTGGATCATATAAACAAAATATTAGAAATTCATGTGGATTTCTGTCATGACAATGCATGAGAAAACATTTCATTGTTATGGGACTTCTGTTACCATATGTGTGGAGAACTGTGTATCTGGATTTATTTGGACCTCTCATCCTAGGCTGGGGATTTAGCAGTTTTGTTGCAGATGGCAATGAAGGAGGGCTGAGAGCATTCCTGTTACACTCACAGATTTCAGGTGTGGTTTCCCACTGGGACCATGAGCAAGACACATCCATCTAGGTTATGTGATCATCCCCAGAACCATCTCCTGTCACAGGTGTCAATAATCAGGGATTATTTTGGTTTCTTCTGTGTGCACAGGAAAGTCGTGAACTAAATGTATGTGCAATGTCGATTTCATGGAGCAAGAATCTCTGCCAGCAATTTTTCCTCTCTCAAATGCATTATTTTAAAAGTGGAATGCTGGAAAGCAATGGATGTTTTCAGCTCTATTTTCTTCTTCTCCTGCTCCAGCTGGCAGGCAGGACAATGCACGTATTTGCAAACTAAACAGCTTTCACTTCTATCAACTCTGGGTCAGCCTCAGTGGCTGTCTTGACATGGTCACATTATTGGAAGAGATGGCTGGAAAATGTTCTGCCACAAGTACTACAAGTGTGTGGTTGCCAAAAGGCATGTTAATGAGGTAGCACTGCCAACAACAGGCAAATCCTGAAAAGCCAGACTAGCTGTTTTAAGGACACAATGGGAGATCCTTCTGAGTGGCTTTCAATCTGCTAAAAGGTATCCTCCAGCTGAAATTTGCCTGGATAAAATTCCTGTTCTTTTTACCCTTGCACCAAGAAGATGTAGGTGGAAAAGAGAAAAAAAAAAGATGTCTGCAGAGGCAGGCATTTGTGGCACATATGCTTCAGGGAGTTGGATAAATTGTGAGTTGATAGTATAATGCAGTTGGAGAAAGAATGAAGGTCAGAGATTAGCTGCAGAGGTAGTAGAAACCACAAAAGGAACAAGGGGATGATTGGACCAGAAATAACCGGAAGTTGCTTCATTGCACACATCTTTTCCAGAAAATGTCCATTTGCAGGAAATGTTGAATTCAAAAGAGGCTGGATTAATAAGACTTTTTGAGATTGGTCATCAGGTTTTAATGATGGAGGTAATAAATACATGGGAATGTTTGTGTGTATTCCTTGTTATTGGTACACATAAAATTGAGAGGAGATTTTTTTCTGAAAGGATTTTCTATTTTAAGCAGTACTGAAGTCAGAAAATCCCTCCTGCTCGACTTGTACAGAAATCTCTCAACACAACCATGGTAGCCATTTTTTGTTTTGGACCCTGTGATCAGGCATTAGCCTGTGGCAGGGTTGTGCATGCTGACTCTAGGAGTTCAATACATTCTTCAAGTCTTTTGCTAAAATCTTACATTATCACATGTGAGTTTCCTAGGTTCCAGGCAACTGACTGGTCTGGAATTATCAAACTTGTATTTTTGGGGGCAGAAAAAAAAAATACAGGTTCTAGTTTCTTCACATGGTAAGTCTCCCCGATCTTGTAGTGTCAAAAACTTCTGTAGGGTGGGAAATCCACAGATTAGCAAATTAGATAGAAATCCATAGGGAAGCACAAAGGTGACTGTACATGGTCAAACCAAAGGTGCTGAATCTGTCCCATACCTTTACCTTTCCCTGTTGCCCTTCTCTGAGCCTTCTCCAGCACTGGTGTATCGTTTCAAAGCTGAGGCTAATAAGTTTTATACCCGCCCCATTTCAGATCGCTGCATACAGTTTTTGATCTCTTTATTAGGTAGAAAAATGTGTCTTGTATCACATAAGAAAATTAGACCCATGTCAGTCCAGGATAATGAGCATCCTCTCTCTTTCCTCATGGTCTCAGCAAGTCATGAGGCTGTATGAAAATCTCCGCAACAAGACCTGAGGGTCCCACTGAAACCTTTGGGTCGTCTATTTTAGAGTTCAGAATCAAACAACTTTAGATAATGTGGTTTTCCTCTATTCTGAGGACTGTTTAAGCTGATTGGTGCTGTTTGGACATTTAGCTGTGTTGAGTGCCCATACCCATGGTCCCAAACTGGACTTCCCAATGGACAGGACAGTTGAGGCTTCTCAAAAAGGATAGGACAGTTTTCTCTCCACTTTCTCAGTTTTTACGTTCTTCATGCTCTTGTGGCTCAGCATCTTTCTCTCCAGCTCGGCAAACATACTGGCCTGAACCTACCGCGCAGAGCTGCCACATGATTATTTAGAAACTATGTAGATAACTCAGCAGTGAAAGGAAAAGGGAACAGTAACAATCAGTTCCCCATTCTTTTTGTGTTGTTGCTACTGAAAATGCATCCCTGTGCTCTAAACACTGAACTGTAGAGTCCAAAGTGAAAATGTAACCATGATTGTGCCACATTAAATGTCAGATAGGAATACACCAAGCAAGAGCAGTTTTGTTTCCTGTTTGTTGTTTCAGCAATCAAGGATCCTACATTTGATATGAATACACCTCCTGTCTTTGTATGCCTCAGGTGCTGCTGCAGCAACTTTCCTCATAACATTTGCTGATGCATATCTGATGTGTGCAGGGGAGGCAGAGACTGAGCACAGCACCAGCAAGCCCTGACCCCCATTCCATTCCCTGTCAGCACCCCAAGAGGCCTATTCATAACCTGATTTTTCTGCCCCTTCTTGATTTCAGTGAGATTAGCAGTTTTCTTGTATTCTGATCATCAGTCTAGCTAAGGTCCCACACTGTGACACAAAGCTTTCAAGCTGTGAAACTGTGGTGAGACATTGTCCCCAGTCATAGTGTAAAACTTCCCAGAGCATGGCTCCAGGACTCCGTAGCCACTGAGCTTCTCTGCCCATCTGAGAGAACAGAATTTTAATTCTAGCCCTTGCAGATATATTTGCTAATCCCATTGCAGACCTGAATGTACAACAAGGTATTTGGAATTTCTCTTCCCTAAGATGTAATTATATCATTTTCTCTCTCTTCCATTCGCCTTCTGAATTGTAATTTTTTAATTTTTTTATTTTCTTTGTTCTGCATAATTCCCCTCTCCCACAGTCCTTGATTTTAAGAGTGGTAAGCAACTCATTATACCTATGACTACAGGAATCCAACAAATGACTGAAGGTCTCCCCCTTGCATAGCTTAGAAATAACAGTAGCAGCAATAACATGCAATTAATGTACTGGAAATCTAGAGAGGACAGAGAAATTAGTATGTGCATACAACCACCAGAGAAAGAGGAGTGCTGGTGTGATTGAAAGGTATATGCAGGCTTTGCCACCATTTCTGAGTATAAGTACCTGTCAGATATGGGGGGGTAAGTGAAAGCTTTATTCAGAGCTTTCACATCACTTTCTCTTTTTTTTGCTTCATATTCCATTGCTTAGTACTTCGCAAGTGTGATAAATGAAGGTCATGAATACATATGAGGCTGTGAATTATTTCTTTGTGGAGACTAGCAAGGATCAGGACCAATTTCTCTGCTGGATCCAGACAGTAAGAGCTGTTAAAACCAAACCAGACAAACAAACAGGGGATAGAGCTATGGGGAGCTTAAACCATGCAGACAGCTTGTGCCCCTTCATTTGCATAGCCTTGCTTTGAAGCGTTGGCTGGGACATTTAAGCCACCCTGAGCAGTGTTTGACAGACATGTTTAGTTTCTAGCAAACTGGTCTGCTGCACAGCTGTCCTCTGCAGAGGTGGCAGTTCCAGTGAGGTATTTTTTCCAATTGCTCTCTCCCAGTTTGTGCTCCTCCTTGGGAATAGAAAGATCAGTGGGTTGCATACTCTGAGAGGTGGGAGAAGTATCAGAAGGGAAACCTTTAAGGAAGGAGTGTAAATAAAAATCCCCCTCTACACCTGTGGGCTCTGAATTATTTACATTAAACTCTCATTTAGAGTTTAATGGCCACTTTTCATAGCACTACATCTCACAAAATGCAAGACTATGTGAACATACATGGAAAGTAATATGGCAGAAAATGAGCTTTGGAGGCTGCTTCTTTTCCATCAAGAAAATACCAGTGGCTACTTAGATATTCTGGAAATCTAATGAAACCTTACTTCTGATAGTAAATACTACACAGTTTCTTCATTGGAAATTACCAGTCAAATTGCTGCATGGTTGACAGAGCATTCCAGTGACTGATCACATTAATCACAGCAGCAGCACGGCACAGGAGGTCAGCTGCATCGGTGGGACCTACTGCCAGGTTCAAAGGCTGCTCTTAGCAATCCCTCATGTACACACCAAGCAAAGAGGAACCTGTCTGCAGCCCTTTGCTGGGATCTTACAGTATAGTGGGAGAGAAGTTGTCTACAAAATATCCATTCATAGAAATTGGAAGGATCTTGCTTTATTTAGAGCCATTTGGCAGCACTGCCTTTGTCTGACCATATCTGTTATGGAACCGATACAACGCTGTCTCAGATGACAAAATGACAGCATGTCTGAAGATCTATCGGGTGTTAAAGAAGACAGAATGAGGAGTGCTGTCTTCATCCCATCTGATCCTCTCCTCCTGAGCTGCTGATGCTGCTGTCAGGAGAGGTGCAAGTGAAGAAAACAGCAGGTCTCTTGCCTAGGTTAGTTTAAGACAAATTTTTGAAAGTATTTCAAAGATATTTTGGATTCTAGCTCCCAGAAAACAGCCCTACTCTCCTTTCCCTCCAAAAATAAAATCATTCCAAATGCAAGTACCTGAGCTAGAGGTCTTATACTGTAAATATATAGTAATCAGGAGCATATGTCAGAAAGGAAAATAAAATCAACTGTGTATTGTGGGCCTTAGTCTGCATTTACTGAATTAAATGCCAAATATTTCTTTGAAAGAAAGGGTAAGATGATCCAGTTCACTGCTTTCAAAGATACCATCTGAAGATATCACCTTGTGGCATTTTAAAAAATAAAGCCAAATTCCTTCAAGCAGGCAAAATAATTTTCTGTCATACTTCATCTGTATAATTTAAAATGAGCAGGCTTTAAATTTGCTTTTTAATTTTGCTTCACTCAAATGTGTGAAGCTTTTCCCAGCAGTATAGTGGTATCTTTGAACTTGTCAGGTTCTCAGTAGCCTTCTCTTTAAATATAGAAGATGCAATCCAATTTTTCTCTTTTACATGAGGAGCCTGAATATGGCTCCTTGCTTCAAATCCGATTCATATTAAAAATATCTGTAACCATGTGCAGCTTTTGAAAAAGAGGTGTCACATTGTTTCCATTTATCCCAGTATGCATTACTGACCACTTGAAGCAATATGGTGTGCCCAACATGTATTTTCCTGTACACAGCACTCACTGACTCGATCCATCTGAGCCTTGCCCTTTTATTCCAGAGCTCTCTTGTTGCATCTCATTCCTTAATAGTTTGGAACTAGAGCAAAAAATATTCTAAATGACCAAATTACTTCTATCAGTAACCCACACTCCCATACTTCTGAAGACTAATCTTAATAAAGCTAAGTGTCCCTTTGGTAATAAGTTATAACTAGGACTCAAACTTTTTGACCTGAAGAGATCTGTACTGAAATTGTGCTGTCTGGGCTTTGAGGCATAACCTCAGAGCTGAACCTCATTTGGAATTTGGCCAAAGATGTCTGGAGAGGTGAAGTCAAGTTGAATAAATGAAGTTTTTAAGACTTAAAGATAAACCTTAGATGTGATATCATTAGAAATTCTGACCCCAGATGAATCAGATAAAACTCCTGGAATGGAAGTAATGTGGCTTTGTTCATTCAGCTTTGAAAAAGTCAGACATAGCTAACATCAACTTTGGAAGCAATTAATTTAATCCAGCCATTAAAAATGTTTAGGTCATATATCTCAGAGATCGAAAGGTTGTGATTTCATTAAGCTTATTTTTAGAAATCTTCACCTTAGTAATAGAAACATTTCTCTAAGCACTTCAAAATGTAACTCATGTGAAGCCTACAATTTACCATTTCATATAGGATCTCTTCTTGGCCAGGCTATTTCCCCAGGCTTTTCCAATTTTGGGGCCTGTCACATTTCCCAGTGTATCTCAAGCATAACAGCATTGGCACTTTCCTGTTTTCACCTGCAACTCAGCACAAAACTGCAAACTAGCTGCTATCCTGACTCTTAGTGCATTCCAAGGAAAGGCAGGTTTCAGCTGATGAAAGATTCTGCCATTCCAGCTGCATCACCCTAAAACACGGCAGCCTCACAGGCACACAACTGGTTGCCAGGGCAACTTTACAGGGGAAACACAGTAAAACTTCAGAATAATATGTATCAAAGGTACTTTCTTGCTGCTGCTTTCCACGAATAAGTTTGTCTCCTTTGTGGATAAGCAATCATCGTGCTTCAGCTTCTTCCACTGCCAGGCCACTGATGCCATAAACAGGGACTCACAGTTCCTGCAGGACAGTTGCCATCAATCTGCAGCTCTGCTTCTAGCTCCGTGCACAGGTGCAAGATAATCAGAAAACTCAGCTTCTCCATCTTAGAGAAGAGAGGAGGCTTCAAAAAGTAGTTTCAGTTTCACAGACCAGCTCTGAGGGCATCTTCTGAGTTCATGTCTAAAGCAGATTGTGTGAGAGAGCCATAATAATGAGAAAAGTTACTCCTTGAGCAAAGACACTGTGAAGTATCTAATTAACAAGTTATCAGTTTGCACTAGGCCCAATATTTATAGCGTGTCTCTGATCTCTGGCATGAACAGTCTGACTGTGCTCTCTCTCACAAACTGAAGGGTGCCATGTGAGGCCGAATTTCCCTGAGCAGAGTTCCCTGGCATCTCTGCATCCAGCAGTGTGCCAGTGCTGTGGCTCAGCCTGCTCTGCCTGCCCAAAGCCAGAAGGAGCTGACACACTCCAGGAGTATCCCGAGCCTAAGTCCCAGGCAGCATCAGCACAGGCTTAGCAGACACTGCCATCTGCATTCAGAAACATGTCAGAGGAGGCTGGAAGCAAACCTGGTAGGTGTAGCTTTCAGTCAGAGGATCACAACATCCATTTCCTCAGGGATCGTGAGATCAGGTTGAGGGTCCTGAGCACAAGGGACAGGCCAGTCATCACTCCAGACATCCTGTCTTTTAACTTTCCCACGTTTTAGGGGACTTAGAAAAGTTTACCTCTGAAGTGAGCTCCCAAACTGAAAAGTTGAGAGCCAGAACTAAACCTTGTAGCAAAAACATGCCTCTTCTATAGTAGAGACAAAAGGAAAACTTTCCAAATTTAGTAAAGTGCAAGAAATCAATGTAAGTTGCTTTTGCCTTTTGTATCTGGGTTTTTTCACTCTGTCTTTGCCTCATTCGTGGTCTCCTCTGCTCTGTTTTCCTCCTTCTCACTCTATTTTGTTTTTATTTTTGCTCCCCCAGGTATAATTTCCGAGGCTTCCGCTGGCTCCAGGCTATGATCTTTGCCATAGAAGAAATAAACAGTAGCCCAACTCTCCTTCCCAACATGACCCTGGGATATAGGATATTTGACACTTGCAATACAGTCTCAAAAGCCCTGGAGGCCACACTGAGTTTTGTGGCCCAGAACAAGATAGACTCCTTGAACCTGGATGAATTCTGTAATTGCTCAGAACATATCCCTTCCACCATTGCAGTCGTGGGAGCAACTGGCTCTGGTATCTCCACTGCTGTGGCCAATCTGCTGGGACTCTTTTACATACCTCAGGTAAGCTTCCACCTCACTTGCTTAGGTTACAGAAGTGGCCTGCTCCTCTACTCTGCAGAGATTAAGCAGAGATTGCTTAATCTTTGCCATTTCCAATAGAATTTATAGGAGAGAAACAATAAAATGGGAGCGGGAGGGGGGTGGGTGTTATTGTTATGATAGAAATGTGTCTTGCTAGCACTTTGCAGTCCCCAAATATAAAGGTTACTGAGCAGCCATAACAACATTTGGCCAACAGCAGCCCAGCCTAGGAGGACTGGAGTCCTCTAAAGTGGTTTAGTCTGTGGATGCAGCAGTAACTGTAAGCATTCTGACTCTGCTGGAGCCAGTGCCAGTGTCCATGGCCCCATCCTTTTGTTTAAGAGGCTGGTTGATCTGTCAAGACCTTAAGTAAAGTACAAGGCTGATTTAATGTTGTTGCTCTTGATTTTACTTTTCTACACTGAGGTCAGCTTCAGAAAAAGTGCTTGGCCTTGTATAGCCTAACACTTCCAATCCCTCTTCCAAAATTAATAGAGGTGCCGGAGCTCACAAGAGCCCTTATAACAAGATTGTGTTCAGAATGTGCTCTCAGTCTGTCCTGAGAAATGTATCTTTGCTTCAGCCAGGGCTGCAATTCCCATCTGCACCACGAATGAAGAAGGAAGGATTCTTGATTGCCCTATGCACAGTAATATATCTTGTCTGTTGAGTCTTATCAGTCTGCCTCCTTTGCAGGAGTCTGAAAAACTGGACATTTGTTCTCTGAGCAGGGCAGGAATGGTTTAAGCTGTGCTATCTGGGTATTGCCCAGAGTGGCATTGGAAGCTGGCATGTAACAAACACCCTGATGACATCTTATGGGGCACTGTTGATTTACACATCCCATTACCAGGTAAACAGGGGCAGCCGAGAAGGGTTGGTGAGTTCAACTGAACCTAAGAGATGTTTGCAGTTCTCAGACTTTCTCTTTAAACAGAGAATGACATTTGTCCCATGAGGTAGTACCCTTATCTAGAGGCTGCAGAAAAGGGTAGATGTCAGGAGGTTCAGTTCTGGAACAAAGTCTCAGCCAGGTGGTTGAAGCATGACAACTGAAAGCAGGCTTTTAGGCTGGCAGATGTTGAGTAGAATTGTCACAGCCATTTATAGCAAGGCCATTAGCAAATCCAGGCTTATTAGGCCCTGCATTTCTGTGGGAGTTGGAGGTGTATTTTACAATTAATATATGACTCATTTCTCATTCTGTTGACGTAGACACTGAAAATGTTACAACTTCTGTTCTGTTTCTCAGTACCTCAGGTCAGTGTCCCCTTACAGCACATGTGGCAGTGGGACAGATTGCCTGTACTCCTGGAAAAAGGTTGATGGGGGTGAGAGTAGCACTGGGCAAGAGCCTGGCCAGGGTAAAGTACAGTTCTGTGAAAGGAGGGTTTACTCCTGTGGCATTTGAAACTGCACTATGAGACTTCCTTTTCTTTCTTCTTGAAGAAACAGTAAATAACAGAGTTCAAGGAGAAGATAAGGTTTTCTGTAAATTTCCACTTTGTACAAAATGAACTGTTTATAGAAGACTTTTTCAAATGAGAGTCAGTCCCAAAGAATTCAGATACCAATCTCAAAATGTGTTTTAGAAGTTCTCCAGATCTTTAAACAGTTATAATCTGGGGTTTAAGGTTTTCTTCCTGTTTGCAGATAATTCAAATTATATCTTAAGAGCATTGTTCTGATTAGGAAAATAAAGTATTTCTTGATAGCTTTAGAAGAGGAAATAAAATCCAGTTTTAACCATAGAACATGGTGGCTTATGAAACATGGACTGGCTTCTTTGCTGATTCTGGCCAGCAGTCAGGAAACACTGCTAAAGTAGCATTACCATAACACTCTGCAGAATCAAGGAAGCTGATATACTTCACATTCTTCTTATGTTAGCTGACAGGGATTGCATATAAAAGGCAAAAGGAGCCCATTTAAGGATGGGGATGGATGTCAAAGGCAAGGAGAGAAAGACAGAGTAGCTTTGGAATGGCAATACCATCCTTCTGTCTCATGCCTGGTTCAGGACAGAGAAAGCCTGTGTTTTGTCTTAATTCAGTGCATTCCCCTCATTTATCTAGGTGGCACATTCTTTTTATTTCTGGATTGACAGAAATCTTTGCTATTCCTCCAGTCTAGTGTCCATTTCTCTCTCCCTCAGATCCTTGACCTTGCAGGTGGGCACAAGCTGGCTCCAGCCTCTCAGGTCCGAGCAGCTGCTCCTGTATGAGTGCCTCTGTAGGACAGGCACAGCTAGCAGAACCCTCAGAGTGGATCACCTGCAAACACAGGCTAAGAAAATGTGCTTCCCAGGCTGACAGTGATGCTAGGTAAATGGAGGCAGTTTATTTCAGGCATTTCACTTTATGGTGTGTTTTGCTTGTTTGCTGTGCTCTGACAGGTCAGCTATGCCTCATCCAGTCGTCTCCTGAGCAATAAGAACCAGTTCAAGTCCTTCCTGCGCACAATCCCCAATGATGAGCATCAGGCCACAGCCATGGCAGACATCATCGAGTACTTTCGCTGGAACTGGGTGGGAACAATTGCAGCTGATGATGACTATGGCCGGCCAGGGATTGAAAAATTTCGGGAAGAGGCGGAGGAGAGAGATATCTGCATTGATTTTAGCGAGCTCATCTCCCAGTACTCAGACGAAGAGGAGATCCAGCAGGTGGTAGAGGTCATCCAGAACTCCACAGCAAGAGTGATTGTTGTCTTTTCCAGTGGCCCAGATCTGGAGCCTCTCATCAAAGAGATTGTCAGGAGAAACATCACTGGCAAGATCTGGCTGGCAAGCGAGGCTTGGGCCAGCTCTTCCCTAATAGCCATGCCGGAGTTCTTCCGTGTCATCGGCAGCACCATCGGGTTTGCACTGAAGGCAGGACAGATCCCAGGCTTTCGTGAGTTCCTGCAGAAGGTGCATCCCAAGTCCACCAACAACGGCTTTGCCAAGGAGTTTTGGGAGGAGACATTTAACTGCTATCTCCCTGATGGATCCAAAAATTCTCCTGCTTCAACTTCCTTCCACAAGGGCCACGAAGAGGGGCTGGGAGCTGGAAATGGAACATCTGCCTTCCGACCTCCGTGCACGGGGGATGAGAACATCACCAGCGTGGAGACGCCATACATGGACTACACACACTTGCGGATATCCTATAACGTGTACTTGGCAGTGTATTCCATCGCCCATGCCTTGCAGGATATTTATACCTGTACCCCTGGGAAGGGACTCTTCACCAACGGGTCCTGTGCAGACATAAAGAAGGTGGAGGCATGGCAGGTAAGCCCTTCGTTCATGTGCCTGTGCAATATACCTGTGGAAGGAAAGATAAGCTGTCCCAAATGCCCTTTAGGGTGCCTTTCCTAATCCTGGGTCTCAGACACAGCATAAGGCTCCTGGGATGCAGTGTGTGACTGTGTCTGAGGTAGGTGCATGCTCCCACCCACAGGGAATGTAAGGCAAGTTGGGCTAGGCCTGCAGTGAAAGGGGCTTAAACCAGGTTACATTTTCTCGCATTTGCTGCGGGCCAAAAGTGCACACACAGACAATTACCACAGCCTGGCTGACGCAAGGTAACTTGATCATATATTGAGCCTTACATAAACAAGAGGGCCTGGGGAGAACACATAAACAAGGAAAACAGTTTTTAGAGTTCATTTTCTTTGGCAAGCTTTAAATCTTTTGCAATCCCACAGCAATTTTCCATACAGGCTGGATTTTTTTTCCTCACAGTTTTAAGCTTATATAGGATCAAACCAAAGAAGATTGAGTAATGAAGGAAAATAATGTGTGGCTCTTGGGCAGAAAATAGATAGCTGCTTTGATTTGGCAGTGGTATTTGTGAACGGATGAAATTATATTAATGACTTAGTCCCATTTACCCATTCATTCAATGCATTCTGCCCACTGGCACATGGATCACATTTTGTCTTCTGATCCTTTATGAATACTCTCTACCTTACTATGTGTTTGATCATGCTATCCAATGTGGTATTCACTTTGTGGTTTTAATATCTACTGCATTCTTAACATAATTAGCATGACCTGATGATGATATGTCAAATATGTAGCAAATTCTGTCTGCTTCATTCTGGTTGTCACAGAACACTTGAGCCCAAACATGCCTGAAATCAGAACAACACAGGTGAATAAATGGAGGATCACCTCCCCATTTTCATTAGTGTTTTCCTCTCTTTGGGACAGTCTAACCAAAACAAAGGCTGCCCTTGCCACAAACTGCAGATGTCAGGTCACACTCACATATAGGAACTGCAGTTTGGTTCCTGTCTAGTCTCCATTAACTCAAAAACATTAGTCAGATCAAAGTAAAAGGCTTTGTCTTGGCATTTATGGGAAACTTGCACTGCTCTAGGTGCCTGAACAGGTTTATCAAACCACTTTACTCAGAGTTGATGAGTGCAAGGTTTGACCCTGATTTAGAGGAATCCTGCAATTGCTGGCTGTCTGTAAAGTTCCTGTCTTTCAAAGCTATTCTGCTTTTCAGAAAAATACTGGCAGAAATGGGCAAGTCGCAGACAGATTTAGCTTTCACTGTTGTCAGTAAAAATGATCCAGAATAAATGTAGTTTAATTCATTCCTTTATGCCTTGTCAGATTGGAAAGTAAAGCTGGATATTCATGCCATTGCTAAGTAAAAGAATGTGTTTATTGAAGGTTCCATGCTTGAGAAGAATGACCTCTCATTTCTGTGTTGCATGTCGGGTGCTGAAGGATATACACATCAAAATGTAAAGCATCCTGCTGATTTAGGTATTTGGGTATACATACCTGCCTGAGAGGAGGGAATCAGCTGGGAGTATGTAGAGAATAACCCCAGTGGGCAGGAGCAGGGAGCACTACAAAGGAACAGGCTATACTTATAACCCCCACCATCATATGAAGCCTACTTGTGCATTTTTTTCACTTTGTTTCAAAATCAAACACATGAATAGCAGGTAAATGCCAAATTTGTGTGCACACCTACTTCATACCAGGCATTGCAGCTCATTACTTTCAGGAAGGTTTCCTCAGCCCTGGGAGTAATGAGTTCACCTCACAAACATGCAGCCTCCAGCATTTCCAGAGTAATTTTCTGAGAACCACACAGGAAAAAAATCTTTCTACTGAAGTCAATCTCATTTGCAGTGGTACTTCTGCCAGTGTTCACTGCCTGCTCCCTTTCTCACAGTCAGGTCAGGCTTTTCTTGATGGGAAGTGACCTGAGAGGGCAAGGACAGTGTTAGGAGACTCCCATACCTGTGACTGGAGGGCAGCTGCTCACAGTGTGTGCAATTACTGGCCAGGTGCTGTGTGGTACAGATAAGGTGAACCTGCTGAACTTGTGGCTCCATTAGCCTGAGCTCCTGTCTGGAGCAGCTCTTGCCAGCAGGGTTGTGGCTGGGGAGCAAAAATGATACATTCCACAATTTAATTATGTACCATTTAATTTTGCTGCCTTTCAATGGCATTATCCTTTTCATACCTACGAGTTTTTATTGTGGTTTGCTAATTGCTAATTTTATGTATTTATGACACAAATCTTCTGGGGGATGTGTTCTGTATCATTTGTGGAGGGTGCTTGTATGGGTCCATATATAAACCCAGGATTTTTACCTCAGTGATCAGTTCATTTGAAATGGACAGCCTAGCACAAATCACTGTGAGTTGGTTAAACTGAGCGAGGTTCTCCTATTAAGAATTTACCATCTATAGTTTAAGAAGGCTCAAGGTGTGTTTCAGCATGGGGAGAGCAGGATTTTTGTCTCCTAAGGTGAAATACTACCAACTTTCATGTTTACTTATTTACAGCTACTTGTTCAAGAAACCGTTTGCTCATTTTCTCCATCTGGGTCAGTGATCTGTGAAAGATCCTGTCCATAAACCCAATGCTGCTTCCTTTTGCCTTTGAAGCTGGCTATGGGCATTCTCAGTGGAGATGAGACTGGCCAGCCCAAGCTGTCTGGCTGCCCAGCATGTGCAGAGATGCAGAGATGCGTGCAGAGATGGTGAGCAGGCAGGACAGCTTCCAGGCTGTGCCCAGAGGAACCTGTGCCACTCATTCCACATGCAGAGCTGGCCAGGCAATTCAGAATCCTGTATCTGAAAATGAGGCAGCTGGCACTTCAGAACTCTGCAGAAAATTGCAGACTTTATTAGGATGCCTGTGCTGCCCTTATTCTGAGCTATCTGAGCTGTCTTGTTTTAAGAATCTACATGCTGTAAGGCAGAAGATAATCGAGGTGCACACCTTTGCAAGATGCCTGCTGCAAAGGGCAGACAGTATTGTCTGCATGTGCCATTGTTGTGTCCTGTACAATATTGAACAAGATCAGATCAATTGCTTCTTTTTGCACTGTTTTGTTCAGGTAACAAAAAGGTGCAGGGCAATCCTGAACAAAATGTATAAATCCTGTCACTTCGGGGCAAGGCAAAATTTTAGGAAAAGCACTGAGAATTCAAGTGCATGGGTGCAAATAGTAGAACAGAAAAAATCCTCATAAAGGTTTCCAATACCTCTGGCTGTCAGAAGACCACTCTCTTCTGCTGGGGGGTTGTGACTTTTTAGGAGACCATATCAAGTAGAGCTAATTCTGTGCATTGCTCTGGTTTGTGGACTTGCCTACCCCAAACACAGGCTCTCCCATAAGCTACAGAATGGAAGTGGGAACTTATGGGAAGGGGTGGAATCCAGGCTGAGAACTGCTGTACTGATGCTGCCTCTTTGTCAAAATTACCTGCTTTTTTGGCCTGTTTTGCCATAACTGCTTTAACAGTCTGGTTTTGAAGCCCTTTTTTCTTAGTATCTTCCCTGATAAGATTTCTCAAGTCCCTCAAGTTCCTTCATTTTCTTAGTCAAATAGTTCATGAGGCTATTTCTGCAGTCACTTCTAGGAAAAAGTCCATCTGTTCTTTTTTCAGTTCCCCTCTGAGCATTTACAGGAGCCTCTCTGGTGGTCCTGCAAAAAATAGGGAGAAAACTAATGGGGAATCTGTCTGTCAGAGCAAATATTTCCTGCTTCATATTATTTTTGTGTGAGAAGATGAAAGACCTGTCTTTTTTTCGGACTGAGGTCACTCAGTTTCTGCCCATTCATTTGGATTCTTGATGAGCAGCTGCTGGATCTCTCTTTGTCTTGCAGTAAAAGCATTGTGATTAAATGGGGAAGACAGGCTCCCAAGGATGTGAGAAGGCAAAGGTGTGCAGCCACAGGGTCACTGAGCAGAGCATCTTTGGGTTGACTCCCACATAATTTGCAGGTTGCTGTTACTCTGGAGGTTTTGAACTTTGGCATAAGTGAAAATCAAGAGCTCTCTTAGGCACCAAGGAAAAGCACAAGGCAAGGGCTGAAAAATGAGTTGTGCTAATGATTTGCAGGTAAGAGACATGCTTGTGTGTATTATTCTATGCCTGGAAATCTGACTGACCTCAGACTCAGTGAAAAGTTGCCATATGCTGTTCCAGAAAATAAAAATAAATACAAATTGGCTTCACCTAGCAACATCTAAACTCTTTTATTGCACTTGTGCACCTCCCAGCCAACAGTTCCTTCCTCAGTGCTGGTGATGCTCATTGTGAAGAGGTAAAAATGGACTGGCACCTTCTCCAGCTTTACATTTAGGTGCGTCTTCCTGGCTGGAAATTGATTGTGGAAGGCTTTAAAGAAGTAAATAATGCCTTAGATGACTTAGACCTTTGAGCCTAATGGCTTATCTAATCAATTTTTGTGTCTATTAAACTAGAGGCCTGTCTGAACAATTCAAAACCAGCTGCTTTGTGGTATACAGAATTAAACAGTATCAGAACAGCTATTAGCTGTGGCTAGTGGGAAAATTAGTCATTTGGGGGGAATCACAAAGAAAACAGAGGAAGCTGTTGAATGTCAGGCAACTGCAAAACCTTGCCTACTCTGCAATACAAATGCACTGGAGATGTATTTGTTGTGAACAGAAGGCAAGAGGTGTGCCTTTGTTGTGGGAGGCAGGATTGAGAGGGACACTACTTGAGCCACACACAGAAATATGGGGGTCAACAGAGCAAACACAGCTATTTCCCCACCAGGCCAATAACAAACAATTGCTTATTCATCAGTTTGAAGAGAACAACTTGCCATCAGCTGAGAGCATCAACTAAGCAGACAATAGATGGAGTGTTATTTAAATGTCTCTACAGCTAAAAGGAGAAAGACTTAACTGGACTCACCAGTAGAAAATGTGCTGGGAAATGATTGCCCTGACAAGGCTGCTAGAAGAAGGGTGAATGAACTGCATGCAGCAAATAC